TACAAAAAAGGCCTGATTCAGGCTTAGGCTGTTTTGTTGGCTGAAGAACTGGAGATGCTGGAGCAAGGACAGAACAAAGTAAATCTGCAGCCTACCCTGACACTGAAGGAAGCTGTAACTTAGAGGCGTATCTCCAACAGGCAGAAAGAAAATAGGACAACACTCCCCTAGATTGCTTTCACTTTTCTTGGAGGTTTCTCACATAGTAAGCATGTCCACCCTGATATAGCCCAACTATCTCACTTCCCAATGTGATATAATTAAAACCCTGTTATGCGGTAATTAACAGAAAATCCCATTAAATTGGTCAATAATTACCATGCTCACCTCTTGTTTCTTTCTTTTTAGGACTTTGATAAATTTTAACTCTTTTACTGAAGAATTATATGTATGGTGTTTCTCTTAAAATAACTTTGGGGGGGAATAAGGTGAGTGAATATGCCTGGAGCTTTTTTGGAGGCTTTCATTTGCCCAGCGAGCTTGGTAGGCTTACAGTATAGTAGAATAAATCTGGTTTACAACTGGCTAGATGATTACAAAGATGTAGCAAAATACTGCATATGAAACTTCATTCAAATGTGAGCATGAATTAGTATTGAAATTGTGTTCCAGTTATAGACCTAAAGTTGACTGTGCTTAAAAAAAAAAAGGGTGAGGGGGGAAAAGTGCTTAATATATTGATGACTGAAAGGGAGTCAGGAGAGAAAAGTGGAAACTGAAAAGGCTGCACTCTAAACAGCATCGTGTTGTCCTTCACTGAACTGCATATCCTGAACAGTAGAAGTCAAGGGTTGTGTGCAGTGTTTTATTCAGTAAATAAATAAGCCTAACAAATGCATTAAACTGGCACAGAGTTTCATTGACTCAACTGAGTATATGTAGAGGCATTTAAACACCTTTCAAAGTAAAAAACATTAACAACCAAGATCAGGGCTGGTTCGTTTCATTTTCATGAGTGAGTGAATGAATTACATGTCCTGGTGGCATTTCAATGATCTTTTAAAAAGTAAATTTTGAACTGTCAAATTCATCCAGAGAACCTTGCATTAAGAATAATGAATCAGCTAAAGTGTGATTTAATCTAAACTTGTAGTTTCAAATCACATGGTAAGCTACTATAGAAACTTTTAAGAGAATTAAAATTTCTGCTTGTACTAGGAGCTGTTAGAATCAGTAGAGCAAGACATCGGGTGAAATGTACATCTCCCCTCCTCATTTACTTTGTTCTCATTTTTATGTTAATGTAACTGTTTCTATTAAAGATTACTGTCAGGAATAAACTCGTATTCAGAAATCTCCTTAACAATGACCTTCTTCAACATGACTTAAGAGCATCACACAGTCCACAGGCTAGCACTGGACAGGAGCTAGTTCAGTGCATGCAGAAGCACTCTTGAATACACTAAGGGTAAGTAATTATTTGTGAGGCTGTAAATTAATATCTTCTTTGACTGCTTCCCTGTCAAGTTCCCAAGGACCAGCTACTCTATTCTAACTTTTCATTTATGGCGCCTTTTCTTCTAGCATACAGAGATAACTCGTAGCAAAGTGGCCAACAGAGAGAGATTCAGTTCTCAAAGTCATTTTGGTAATGGAAAGGTGGTCTGATTTCTGGAAAACAGACTGTCAACTTTGATTCCTAAATTTCAGGTAATGTTGTAACTCCCTGTCTGTTCTGCAGTGAGTGATATGTCTCTGAGCTGATCTCTGGAAACTCTTCTGAAACTTCTAACATTATCAGAATACTCTTAGTTAGCTTTTGTGTAGTAGTTTCTAAGATAGTATTTTATACAAATAAAAAAATGAGAAATAGCTCAACTACAAAAGCATCATCCAGTTCAAATGGTCACTGACCACTAAAGATTTAAAACAAACAAAAAAATCTTTACAAAACTATTACAGAGTGAAGAATAATATATTCTCTGTGGATGGAATCTACTCAGCTTTTTTCCTTATAGTAGACTATTCTACCATGATTTACTGTTTTCAACTTATCTGCATGTTTGTTTGTTTGTTTTTTTCTTTTAACTGGCACAACAGAGATGTTAATGGCAACATGTTACATCTGGTTTTAAATAGTAAGCTCTGTTGGGAGGGATGTTGTCTTTTTGTTTGTACCTTCACAGCTACATTATTCACTGTGTATAAATATGAGAAACAGCATAAAATGATTAATTTAAGAGATGATAAAGAAACAGCATAAATGCCAGATAAACGGATTTGCACATACCTTTCGAAGAGGTAATGATACAGTTGTATATAAAAATATTCACTGGCTTTGGAAGCAAACAGAATTGTTTCCAGAAGATATGAGACTTCTATTCAGTTATCATGAAGAATGAAGGAGATTAAATAGGTAAGTTACAACAGAGGCAACATTACTATGACCAAAGGGCAAAATAACTATCCTACTGAGATTGTCACACAATTCTGTGTCTTGTTACATTAGTAATGGCTTTTTATACTCTTTAAGAGCAGTAAGGGAAATACTATAGTCAAAACAATGCTGGCTGTATTTTAATAGCTCGGCATAAGTAGAAACTTAATGTTTGTGATGCATTTGGTTTTTCTGCAGGCTTATGAGAGTAAATAACCTTAACTTGACTCAAATGTGCCACAGGCAATCATTGTGGAACAACTAGCATGCAGTAACTTGTACCTGCTCAAGACAATGGCTCATGACATGCTTTGTCATTATCTGAGGATATATTGTATCCTCAGAACCATCTGAGAAGTGCCAGGACCCGCCTTTTTCTATAAGAACATGGACAGGAGACTGAAAATGTAGGGGCCAAAGGCTCAGGGAGTTATAGTCTAGTGTGGTGAGATGGAATATGATGCAGGAGATGGTAGAAGTGTAGAGCAGAAGGAAGGAGGTGTAGAAGAGGGAACAGTATATCAAGGTGTAATTTTGAAAGGCCTATGACAGATAGGTCCATGTAGTAGTCTAGCTCACTGTACTAGCAGTCACCTAAAGCCAGCCAACAAGCAGAAGATACTGTGATCTGCTACGAGTGATCTTTTATCTTTTACCCCAGTCTCCCAACAGAATACAAACAGCAGAATTGTAAGGAATTAGATAAATACAAGAAACAAATCTTATAACGAGTGACTCTCTCAACATGTGGGAGAGATTTGGGTGTGTGACTTAGCTATGCTATATTCTTCACATGTCCCATAAACTGCTCCCTCTGCTCTAATCCTCCCAACTTTTGGTAGGCTACATTGGTGGGATTTGAGTTCCAAACTTTTCTCCATCATCAGGAAGGCTATATTTTTCCTGGTTTTAGTAAAAGCTAAGATTCTGATGTAATCACTCTGGCACTTTGCAAGAAGTCATATGAAGCTCTTGGGTAACCAATGAATAACTCAGTTTGAGCTGATTAATTTCTATTACTTCTATGATTTCTGAAGAAAAGCAGCTAGTAAGCCAGTGGAAAAGATGAGCTACAGTTTCAACTATGAACAATTACACATTTAGAATTGAAGAAGTTAAGGAAACTTTGAGGTAAACACCACAATGATCAAAATTCATTGTCCTAAGCAACAACTTCACTGCCATAACCAGCATGAAGACCATTCAGACAGTTCCTGTTTGGCTTTTTCCCCCCTCCCTGAATAATTTAGGGAGACTGGCTTTGCACAGGGACCTATTTGTCCACAGTGCAGCATGTTGGCAGGGAAGGGCAGGTGGGTTGGGGCTGTGAAGTCACCATGATGGCAGGGCTATGCACAGTGCCTGCTGTCGAGCCCCGCTGCAGCCCACAGTTGGGGCACTCTATTTTTCCTTCCATGGCCAGGCACCATGCAGGCAGCTCTCTGCTCTGCTTGTTGTGATGGGAACAATCAAGTGTTTTAAAGTGGGAGAATCCTACCTCATGCTGCCACATCCCTCAGCAATAGGCCCCACTGCTGAGGAAAGGAAGGAGCCTACCTGGAAGAAGGGAAGGACTGGCCCACCAGCATGGAGCTGCATGCAAGCCTGGGGCTTCTCAGTGCCACGTGCTAATGGCATTTGGGTTATAATGAGGTCATCTGGCCATGCTGCATACTGGCAATGCAACTGATGAAGAATCATCCTGAAAGCTTGTTGGGGAGCCCTGAAGAGTCCTGCAGAGGCTGGAAAATTGCAAGGATTTTCCTCTGGTATTAAACATCTGTGAGAGTTGGGGGTTATGGCCTCACATGTTGTGAAAGGCCAGCTAGGCATAGGCATTAAGTCCAAGCAAGAGGGAAGGTCTGCTAGAACTTGCTCTGCCATGAATAAATTGTGAAAAACACAAATGTGAAAAAATCCCAACCTATTTACTAAGTAATTCTGGTACAAGTGAACAATAAGGACTGTAAAAAAACTAAGCAGAAAATTATAGCGTGCTAGTGATCTCATCTAAAATACTGGAAATTCTTCTGTGGGAATATAATGGAAGACTGGCAAGGAGGACTGTAAATGTGCTCAAGTGACTTGCCTTGCTGCTGCGGTGTCAGAAAACACATATATCACGCTACTAATCACTATTTAGTTTTATGTGGTTGACAAGTAGAACATCTGCATTTAGAGAACATAGGCCTGGGATAGACTCAGGGTCACAGTGAACATGCCTGGGATTCCTGCCCTGCTGTGAGAAAAATCATAGCACAGTGGAAAACTACTGCCTGCTAAAAATCACTGATATATACAGGCGAAAGTAGCAGGTTCGGAATCTCTTTCTTTCTCTCTAGCAAGGACTGAGCTCCGTGGTGCCTGCATTCTCACTTATGTGCCTCTGCCCATGGGTGCTGCTTCAGAGATTTCCCCATTTGTGATTTAATGAGAGTAAATTTGCTCTTTCCATTTGATCTATGTTTTTTTTTGGTGGTTCCTGTGTCCTGCCTGTGTCAGCTCACAGCTTCCAAGCCTTACATTTGCTGTAGTACCTGGTTTTCTTGTTGGGCTGTAAAAAACAACATTTAAAGCTTTGCTGAAATGGCCTAAAATGCCATGTTGTTTAAATGAAACCTACCTGACTCTCCAGCCTGCTCAATGCTCCAGCAGAGTTTCTTGTTAGCCACACCGTCGCCAGCATCCTGCCTTCTGGAAAATTACTCAGAATAGAAGCACGGAATCTGGGTCAGGAGAGTACATTATGGGACCTAGAGGTGGAAAAATAAGTATATATAATGTTGCAATAGAGTTCTGAGTGGCTCTCAGCCCATCTATTAAGAGCATTCAAAGCAGGAAGTTGCTGAAATTTTGCAAGTAACTTTTGCAAGTCCCCTTTAAATCTTCTAAATTAATGGAAAACACAAGTCACAGGCTTTTAAAAGAGTTATTTTTATTTAGATAATAGAGATCCATCTTACACTGTCATCTTTGAATGCTGCAATATAAGGGGGGGTTCGCCTTCAAAAATGTATATTGTCATAAAAAGATAATTTTTTATTACTTCTGATGACAATCAAAAGAGCCAAGTTAGCTAGTATTAAAGTCATTAACATCAGTATAATTCTGTGTTTTATTAAGGGGCTGGAAGAGTTCCCCCAATTCCTATGACACGGCATGAGAATTGCTTTTATTAGTTGCTTTTGATGTAGACATGGTACAGTCCAGCTATGCAATTTTGCTTTTGTTCTCTCCTATTTTAGAAAATAAATTAGAAGGGAATAAATGAGGCAAACCATATGGAACCAAGGTCAGGTCAGCAACAATCCACTGTACCACCTCCAATTAAGCAGTATGTTCATAGTAAGAATCATGGCAGCTGTCTAACCAGCTCATTCCCCTTTTTATTACCTTTTTACAGATGACATAATAAAACCTGATTGGAATGTTTCCCTTATCATTTTTTTTTCCTTTCCCTAGATTCACTTTCAAAACTTGCAAGTGTGGAGGTTGGTTGGAGAAACAAGCAATTTTTTGTTCAAACAACTGATTTTATATTCACAGCAAGACCTTGAAGAGATACAGAAGAAAAGGATTATGATGTGTTGACAGAACAATTTATTTTGACATTAATATTATTATTTTTCATAAAAGCAGTCCCAATGCAATCTGCATGAAAATACGTTTGTGAAGGAGGCTGCCTAGAGAAGTTGTGGAAATTCCATCCTCAGGAGTATTAAAAAGTCATAGAAGGAATCATAGAATCATTTCAGTTGGAAAAGGTCTTTAAGATCATCAAGTCCAATGAAAGACCTAACGCGAGTCCACCACTAAATCAACCAAGCCTGGAGCAACCTGCTTTAATGTTGAAGTTAGCCCTGCTTTAGGTAGGAGGCTGGGAGAGATGACCTGTAGGTGCCTTCTTGCAGTGTAAATTATTCAATGAAATCAGGCTTTGAATTAAAAAATAATGTAATGGAGGAGGGAGGCAGAAATATGCAAACACACACAGATGTGTGATTGCATAAGCGTTATTTTCTTATGAAATTAAATTAAATACTGATAATTTCAAAGATTGGGAAATTTTTTTTCTTTCTTTTAAAAGACTGAGAACACAGTCCTATTTCTATATCTGTAAAGGGGCTATTACCTACAGTTTTGTTAAGGCCTTCTGCAGCTGGGTCTCAGACTCAAAGACTCAGTTTCAGTTGCTTTTAGTTTGGTCAAGCTGACATAGTTGGAGTTGGAATTTCCTACACTGAATGACTTATTTAAGCTAGTGATTTTCTTTTAAGTCCCATCAAGAGTAGTTCAGTCATTTCCAAAAACAAATTAGTAGAAATATGCATTTCTTTCCTATAAAGAAAATGTTTATAGCCACTTAATTAAAGCTGGGCTTTTTAATTATGTGTTCAAGTTGGGCTGCCTAGAAAACCTGCACAAACTTGGCCAAGTCATGAGCAGAAGAGATTTTTGGCACTATGTAGTTGGTCTCCAGTAGTCTTTTCACAATGAACACACTCCATCTCAGAGCTTCAGAGACAAGCAGAACACTTTGTATTATGAAAAGGCTTCCTGCAGGAACAATGTGGTGAAGGCTGAGGACCAGAAATCAATGATGCTGCTGGTACACAGCAGTGGAATTTGAGTAGCATGACTGAAAGGAGAGCACAGCAAAGAATGCAGACAATGTGGAGGTGAAAGGAAGGAGTAAAGGCTGCCTGTAGCAGAAGTGGGAGGATTTATGAACACTAAAGCATATCCTTACTGAGAACTTGAAACTCAATCCCATGCTCACTGCCTTCCCGTGAATTCATAATTTTAAAAAGGTATTAAATCTTTAATCACAGTATAATGTAACGATTTCTTTTTTCTCTCACAGGATTTTTGAACAAAATGCATTCTGTTCACTGAATGGACTAAGCTCTTGAAAAAAAAAAAGCCTGTATAACTGTCCGTATTTGAAAAAGGAAGATGTGTAGAAAAGGAGTCAGAAGATCACAGAAAGAAGAGCATTGGTTCAATGACAAAGGCAGCTGAACACAGCCCTGAGGAAAAGGATTCTGTCCCTGCCTTCATCTCACCCTCTCCTCGTGATTTGGGCAAGTTCCTTAACCCAGATTTTTCATAAGTGACAATCATTTTCTGAGTTCCCTCCTACAAGGAACCTTGACTTTTACGTTGCTTTGTATATCTGCCCTTAGGATGAGACGTTTCATGCTCCTCAAGTGTTTATTTCTAGTCGTTATAGTCAGCTACCTCACATACGGGTTTCTCCAGTGCAGATGCTAAAGTCTGAAGAAATGAGTGCCCTCTACAGAGCTGAGTTCAGAAAAGCATTCAGTTCTCCCAGCTGCAACAGAACACACTGGGGGCCATATGTGAACACAGACAATCCTAGGGAATGCTAAACAATCTCTTAGGAAAAAAAAAAATCCATCTCCAGGTATCACATTCTGGGCCCCAAATCATTAGGTTCTTCCAGTCTTTTTCCATTTGTAAAGTAAAATTCCCATCCTTCAGGACTTTTCAGAAAAATTAACTAATTCATGTTCAAGAAGCAATTGCATACTATACTGATGAATGCCATAAAGGGAGGGCAAAAAAAGAAAATTCATTATTCTGGATTTACAACATGGTGCAAGGAATGTGCAGCAAATCAAACATGGAGCCATACAAAAGAATTTGTGAAATATGGAATATCTGGTTTTGCTGGTTTATAAATATATATATATTCTATCCAGTGTAAAATCACATTTCTTATGCCCATGTAACTAAGTACTATAAGATACAGTGTAACTAAGGCTGTAGACCTTTTTTTTAAAAAAAAAAAAAAAAAAAAAATAAAATTAGTGAGAGAAAGCTGTAAGCAGCGAGGCAGCATGTAAACCCCAATCTGATTATTTTTGCTCTTACCAGCATCCAATGTTGGTCATTGCAGGGCAGGTTGACACCTGGCTGAGTGTGTCCCCCATGAATCCCCAGGCTGAGAACAGGGACCAGTGCAATCCCAGGTGGGCTCCCAGTGCTGCCCTCCTTCCCATCCCCTCTGCTGCCCAGCGGTGGTCTACACTGCATGTAGCAGCCCTGAGTACAACTAATCGTGTTAACTCTAGTATCAGAACTAATCTAGCCTCAGGAATGTGAAACACACTTTGATCTATTTACTCTGACAAGAAGCAGCACAAAGAAAAAGTCCACTTAGCATCTCTACCTTTAGCAAAGTACAGTAGCAGGGAAACAAACCATACTTTTTGGTTTTCCACCACAGGTTACAACAGATGAGCCTGTGAGAGTTACTGTGACTCCCATTCCCATGTTCTTCTAAGCACACTACATGTACTCAGTTTTAACAGGTATGCAGTTGCCTATCATTTTAAAATACTTTGACACAGCCTAATATGGCATTCAAACTGAGGCTACGTGACTCAGGAGAAAGCAAGAATGGCTTATACAAACAGGTATAATTAGTTAATTTTTAACAAGTGTGCCTCTATTGATACCTTTCACTATTACAAGAAGGTTCATGGTGGTAACCAGCTGCAGCTTTCAGATGCCAGGTGCATAGATTTCCATGTTCCTGCAATACCTCCCCTAAGCTTTGGAAGGGCAGGTAAGGTTCCTACTTCCCCTTGCAGGAAGACAGACAGTCACACTTTGTCACTTGCCAGAGGTGCATGCAGGTGCTATAATTCTTAATTAGCCAACACAGCATCAAAAGAGGCTGCAGAGTTCATGACTAATTTTCTATCACATTGGTTACAGAATAGGTATTGTGTTAATAATAGTTAACAACATATTAACAGTTAATATGATATTTAAGATACGTGAAACCTTGTCAGTGTTGTTATTCCTTTACTTAAAATGGGTCTTCTACTGCACCAGTTGTTCACCAGATCATTAGCTCAACAACCACATTTGTTGTACTTTGTATCTGCACATGCAGGATCTGTGTCAGGCTCATCCTGACATCACCGATGAGCTTAAGTCCTTTCTCCAGCAGAGACAATAAACTTCTCCACACTGTCCTTATTTACAGCTTAAACTCTAGGGAAGAAAATTACTAAGCACTTGACATTCACAGCCTTCTAGCAGAGTTTGCAGCCAGTAAAAGGTACACTGGGAGCCATTTTTGGCTAGCAGTTTAGTATATGGCAATCCCTCTACTCAAAAATAAATTACAGCCAGTATATTTGCTTCATTTGTATTTTTATTTACAAAATGGCACTCTAAAACATTAGATAAATTCTAATAATGGGTGGGCTGGTTTAGCAACTTTGGTATAAGATTTTTTTTAACTGTCACAAGGTCAACCCTTCTAGTCTACAGGTATTTATATAAAGCAGGCTTTTAAAAAGAGTTCCTCAGTAGGCAAAAGAATCAGGCATTTTTGGTAAAGAATTTTCAAGCTTTGGCACTAGATTTAATTGATAAACTATTAAACTATTAAACTGTTAAGTTGTAATTTATTGCAACTGCAATGGCAGCAATGACTGAGTGATCACCCTATGCTGCCACCACCTCATCTGCTATAGCATGAAATACTGTAAGATGGTGTGTAACAATGCATATATCTTGTTACCTGCTGATAATAACCTATTGGCAAGGAGAATAGTTTAATTATATACTATACCTCCTGCTGGCTTCCAAATATTTCTGCTGCTCTTCACTAATTTCTTAGCTAAAAAACAATCAGTCTCCTTATTTTACACTAGTACATTAATTTCTGAATGGAAGACAGAAAGATTTCATTAGCTGCTGAGGTGCCCGAATTCTTTGTGTTGTCATCATGATATAAAAATCTAGCCCCATCTGCCTGTGAATCCTGATGGATGGTTGAGAACAGGTCCCAGATTGGCTAAAGGATGTGGAGGAAATCCCAGACTAGATGTCTGTCAGAGATGTGCAGAACATTATCTCAAAGGTGGCACTCAGCCCTCGCCGAGTGGGATCTCTGCACACTGATGCAGTACAGACAGCTTGGATGAAATCATGTCTTTCTCTTACAGTCCTTCCTTCAAGTTGATTCTGAGCGTGGGATCGTAGCACCCATCATGAGAACAGCACCGGCCCAGCAAGAGCAGCAGGGTCTCCAGTACGCAGGAGCCTTTGAGGTGGACACCAGCAGCTCAGGCTCAGTGTTTGGCACAGAAGCAGAGAGAAAGTAAGTTGATCTGGGATTAATGGTACGGAATTGGAAGTCTTTTTGTCTGTGATAGAATAGTCTGTGTGTCTAGGTACTGGGGACCTCCAAAATAGTCCTATCCCTTTGAACTCCTGCTTGAAAAGGAGTTTGGAGCATATATTCCCATGAGGCTATTAATAGTGCTTTCTACCAGAGTTTGGTCTTTACAAATATATCAGCTTGTTTGCAAATACGTCAGCATTTATTCCTGGAGTGAACTCCTGTCCTATTGAATTCCTGGAGTGAACTCATGTCCCTGTAAAATGAGAATCAGAAACCTGGGCTGAGTGAGAAGAATGTCTTTAAATTTGGGAACTACTTAAAAAAAAAAAAAAAAAGTTGTTTCATAAACAGGTCTCTCAGTAATATGTAGCCTATAATAAATAACTGAGAGTAGGGATTTTTCCCCTCTGTTTCTGAGCAATTACTTTTGAAAATTAGAAATATTTTAGCATGCATGCACACTCAATGGACATATTTGAGATGTTCTTTCTTTGCCTAACGCACTATAACTTGGTGTAGAGAATTGTCAATGTATTATAATAATGAGAACTGGCAGTGTATTATAGTCATGTAGTTAAAATAACCTTTGAAGTCACTGTCTTCCATTATGAGTTTATAAGTGCGTAGAAAGACTTTATGAAAATCATTGATGCAAGGGTATTTACTCTCCTGAGTTTTAGATCCTACTGACAGTGCAGTGATGAAATAGAGGATATAGCAACAAACAGTGTCATGTAAAAAAACAAGAGAAATTAAATATGTACTTCTGTGCAGACTAACAATTTTCTTACAACTGATGTTGAGCTGCTGTGCTTTACTGATCCCTGCAAGCAATAACACTGTGTTTGGCCTGCAGAACAGTGATCTACTTTACAGTATAAAATATGCTGTTTTGATAGGTCACCGTGTCTCACAGAAGAGCTGTTCCAGATTGTCCTTCTCCCTGCTGTGCTGGCTGCAGCAAGCTGACTCCCTGAGCACGGAGTAGGGAAACATTTGACTGACAGAACCCTGCAGGTGACATTGGAAAGTTGTGTCAAATGTATTACTAGCCATGGCCTAGAAGATGTTTATCTTCTTGCCAAGCCAGAAGACTGCAAGCTGAAGTGAGAGGGACTTCTCACTCCTCAGAAAAAAACTGTCATTATGTTATCCATTATCAATAACTCCACATCAGCCTGTATCTCTGTCCCCTGTAATCCCTCTCTATTTTTAGTGAAGATCTAGGAAGCCACAGAATGGATCTGACAACAATATTATTTTTCCCAGAGAATTCAAACATTCTTAAAGACACCAGAGTTTAATGTTACACTCTGAAGAGCTGGCAAACCTGACCTTTATTGTTTGAGTTTGCAGAGCTAAAATTATTGAGACAGGCTATAAAGTTATACTACAGCCCAGTAGGCTCCCAAATAATTAGTTTGATACCTATTGATCTATAAAGATCATTTGTTTACACTAGGTGAATCTATAATTAAGTATCTCCTTCTAAGATAAAACAACCAAGTAATAATTTTTCATTTATCTAGTACATGTTAAACAAATTGTAACTGTAAATATATATATATAAAAAAACCCCTTCATAGCAGGCAAAGGAAGTGCTGTGCTATTGACTGTTTGGAAAGTATAGCAAAATATAATGTGATAATTATAATCAGGAATTTGTTCTTCAATATTAGACTGTCTTAAAAGTAAGCAGCACAAATATACCTGCTGTATACAGAAGGAATCACAAGATAGTAGTTGTGCACAGTAAGGAGAATTTCCTATTACTGCCTTCTACAGAGGGCATTTTGCAGGTCTTAACAATACAATCCTTCACAAGTTTCTGTGCCACACCTTTTGATTTCATTAGGTGGAAAGTTGTGGTTTTATCAGCAGACCTGATTTGCCTGCTCGGGTTTACTACCAGCTAATACCTCCCTAATACTAATACTCAGCTAATACTGCTATCAGCTAAAGTATCTGGATCTCTATTTTCAGTAGGATTTCACTTGACTGCAGATTTTCCATTCCTTGCCTGCCTTTAATGCTCTTTCACATGTATGCACTAAGATGGTAAATAACTTTTCTCCCAGCTTTTTATCTCTGCCCTTGCTATGTGAACTAGGCTCACAGCAGTTATCTTTGTTTTCTCCTCAATTTTGCTTTGTGAATTTGTTAGAGAACAATGACAATTTCTCACTGGCGAGCACCAATTCTCCATACTTGCTGCTGTCTCTCACACAGCAGAAACAGAGAAACAAGTGCCAAGTACAAGGTTAAATATAATACTTAAACTGTGTCTTTTATATTTATAACATCTTTCAAGACAATTTTAAAAACCACTAAACAAATGGTAGCTAAGCAGTATGAATTCCCTCATGTTCTTCATACAAGAAAGAAAGAAAAGCAAGAGGATGTTGAAAGTTGTAAAATACTCACAAGTCTCGGGAAAGCTGTACAGCAAGTTGGGACAGAAGTTAGGATAAAGTTTGCACTAGTGACAGCAGCAAATGCTCCACCCCCTCCTCCATTCTGTTTTACTTTCAGTTGTTATATAATAATGTAGGACTATATTTGTACCTAATACAGCGTGGTAATTATTCTCACCAGAAATAAAGAGATAGTAGGGATTTTCCACTGCCATTTCTGAGCAATTTTCAAAGTTGCAGGGGGGAACCAACAACATGATGAAAGACACATGCCTGTGATTTGGAAGGCAAGCAAGTGACTGACATACACAAAAGGCAGCAGCTTTCTGTCCCAAGCAGCAACACTTGCACGTGCCACCGCTTATCCTTCCAT